CAGAACTGTCCCTCCAAGGACAGAACTGTCCCCTCTGGTGGCTCTGGGGACATTCCCACCTCCATGAGGGCTCCACATGGCCATGGCCACCACAGTTCCTCCAGGAACTGTCCCTCAAAGGCAGAACTGTCCCTCCAAGGGCAGAACTGTCCCTCCAAGGACAGAACTGTCCCCTCTGGTGGCTCTGGGGACATTCCCACCTCCATGAGGGCTCCACATGGCCATGGCCACCACAGTTCCTCCAGGAACTGTCCCTCAAAGGCAGAACTGTCCCCTTGGGTGGCTCTGGGGACATTCCCATCTCCATGAGGATTCCACATGGCCATGGCCACCACAGTTCCCCCAGGAACTGTCCCTCCAAGGACAGACCTGTCCCTCCCAGGACAGATCTGTCCCCTGGTGGCCCTGTCCCCGTGCCCGCTCGGTGACGTCCCGGCGCGGTTGTCCCCGCAGGCCGGGCAGTACGGCGTGGCGCAGACGCGGCGCCGCGCCATCGTGCTGGCGGCGGCGCCGGGCGAGAAGCTGCCCATGTTCCCCGAGCCCCTGCACGTGTTCGCGCCCCGCGCCTGCCAGCTCAGCGTCGTGGTGGACGACAAGAAGTTCGTCAGCAACATCACCCGGTGAGAGCCCGGAGCCGGGAACGCCGCTTTGGCCGTTCCGAGTCGGGAATTTCCTGTCGGGAATTCCGCTTTGGCCGTTCCGAGTCGGGAATTTCCCGTCGGGAATTCCACTTTGGCCGTTCCGAGTCGGGAATTTCCTGTCGGGAATTCCGCTTTGGCCGTTCCGAGTCGGGAATTTCCTGTCGGGAATTCCGGTTTGGCAGTTCCGAGTCGGGAATTTCCTGTCGGGAATTCCGCTTTGGCAGTTCTGAGTTGTGAATTTCATGTCGGGAATTCCGGTTTGGCCGTTCCGAGTCGGGAATTTCCTGTCGGGAATTCCGCTTTGGCCGTTCCGAGTCGGGAATTTCCTGTCGGGAATTCCGCTTTGGCAGTTCTGAGTTGGGAATTTCCTGTCGGGAGTTCCGGTTTGGCAATTCCGACTCGGGAATTTCATGTTGGGAATTCCAGTTTGGCCATTCCGAGTCGGGAATTTCGTGTCGGGAATTCCGGTTTGGCAATTCGGCACTTGGGGATTCCTGTTTGGGAATTCTGTGTTGGGAATTTTGTGGTGGGGATTCCAGTTTGGCCGTTCCGAGTCGGGAATTTCGTGTTGGGAATTCTGGTGTGGCAATTCGGCACTTGGGGATTCCGAGATGGGAGCTCCAAGTTAGGAGTTCCCGGTTGGGAATTCCAGGTTGGGAGTTCCAAGTTGGGAATTCCAAGTTGGGAGTTCCAAGTTGGGAATTCCGAGTTGGGAGTTCCAAGTTGGGAGTTCCGAGTTGGGAATTCCGAGTTGGGAGTTCCAAGTTGGGAATTCCGAGTTGGGAGTTCCAAGTTGGGAGTTCCGAGTTGGGAATTCCAAGTTGGGAGTTCCAAGTTGGGAATTCCGAGTTGGGAATTCCAAGTTGGGAATTCCGAGTTGGGAGTTCCAAGTGGGGAGTTCCAAGTTGGGGTTCCAAGTTGGGAATTCTGAGTTGGGGATTTTGGTGTTGGGAGTTCAGAGTTGGGAGCTCCAAGTTGGGAGTTCCAAGTTGGGAATTCCGAGTTGGGGTTCCAAGCCGGGAGTTCCGAGTCGGGAATCTCTCCCCGCAGGACGTACTCGGGCCCGTTCCGCACCATCACGGTGCGGGACACGATGTCGGACCTGCCCGAGATCCGCAACGGCGCCTCGGCGCTGGAGATCTCCTACAACGGCGAGCCCCAGTCGTGGTTCCAGCGGCAGATCCGCGGCTCCCAGTACCAGCCCATCCTCAGGGATCACATCTGCAAGGTGGGGACGGGATCCACCAGATCCCACCGCGTCCCACCGCAGCGGCCCCGCGGCTTCCCGGGGCGGCCGTGCCCCAAATCGGGATGGGGGAGTCGTGGGAATGGTGGAGGTGGTGGGAATGGTGGGAATGGTGGAGATGGTGGGGATGGTGGGTTTGGGAATGGTGGAGGTGGTGGGAATGGTGGAGATGGTGGGGATGGTGGGTTTGGGAATGGTGGAGATACTGGGAATGGTGGGTTTGGGAATGGTGGGTTTGGGAATGGTGGATGTCTTGGGAATGGTGATTTTGGGAACTGGTGGAAGTGGTGGAAATGGTGGGTTTGGGAATGGTGGAGATACTGGGAATGGTGGAGGTGGTGGGGATGGTAGGTTTGGGAATGGTGGATTTGGGAATGGTGGAGGTTTTGGGAACACGTTGAGGTGTTGGGAAGGTGGAGCCACTGGGAGCCTGGTGGGAGCTCTGGGATCCCTTGGGATTGTCCATTGTCCCATTGTCCGTTGTCCCATTGTCCCATTGTCCATTGTCCCATTGTCCATTGTCCCCTGGGAGCCTGGTGGGAGCTCTGGGATCGGCTGGATCCCTTGGGAGCCACTGAATCCACTGGGAGCCACCTGTCCCTGCGAGTCCCCTGAGCACCAACCCTCCCCGATGGTGCCCAACGTCCCCAATGGTGCCCAGTGCCACCCAATGGTGCCCAACGTCCCCAATGGTGCCCAGTGCCACCCATTGGTGCCCAACGCCCCCACTGACACCCAATGCCCCCCATTGGTGCCCCGTGCCACCCATTGGTGCCCAACACCCCCCAATGGTGTCC